TGGAGACGCTCTGTGGAGGTCCGGCTTCAGATGATCATGTGCTGAGTACAGTAGGTGATGGGAGGAGGAGGCTGCTGGCTCTGAACCGTCTACCGGATCGTCTGCGCTGTGTTCAGGATGATACATGTGCAAGAAATCTTCTGAGCCTGTCTGACAGCAGGTCTTTCAAAGAGAGCTGTGAGGGACGGATCCGCTGCGTTTGTCACCAGACTGCTGATTCTAGCTTCTGACTGGACGCTGCTGGAGCCCGTCGTCTTCAGCACTCGTGTAGAAAGCTTTATGACCGCTGGAGTCTTTAGAGGAAGTGAAGCCTTCGAGCTGGCTGCAGACAGATGATCAGCTCGTATGTTTCATCACCATCTGTTGTCACGTTGCATTCCCACACACCAAGAGCTGCTTCAGCAGCAGCAGCAGGGTCGTGGACGCTCACCTTTCTCAGGTCAAATGTAATTTCCTGTCAGCCGTCCCTCTGCAGCAGACTTTAAACAATGCTACCATCAGAGAAGATCAGTGTGACCAGGATGGATGAGCTCAGTGCTGCACTATTAGATTACATATATATATATATATACCTGCTGAAGGCTGTCAATTAAAAATGAACAAGACCATTTAGTTAAGAAAAGAACTCCTCCAGGGTCCAAATATGAAGCTCCATCTTTCCTTAGCATATTTACTGACTCTCTCAAAGCACTTCATTCCAGCTCAAGTTAAGGCTGCTAGTCTAAGGTCAGTACTGGAGATGGTACTGGGCAGGCCAGAGGATGCTGAACAACTGGACCACAGGCACAGAACAGTTAAAAGGAGAGAGTCTTCAATGAAACCCGTCTGGCCCTGTTGAGTTCTTGTTGCATATGTAGCTAAAAATCCCTTTAAGCAGATGTTGATCAGCTGTCAGGATGCCGACCATAACCTCAGCAGAGGTCAGTCTGTGGCCTCGACTCTCTCCAACAGAAGTCTGGAGGGTCGAACCTGAGAAAAAACCTCCATTTATGATGTTTCCATTCATCACTTTGTCCTGTTTGTCTGGAGTGACGAGCTGTTTCCTGCTGTGCTTCATATTTGGATGTTTTTCAAAGTACTCTCTGACCTGATCCTTGTTTATGAGTGAACACGGCCTCGCCTCCTCCTCCGGGTCAGGCCTGTTATTAGAAAAATGTCTTTTCTATCTGTCTGTCTGCTGCCATTTATTGCCGCTAATATAAATGAAGAAATGCAACGAGCTCCCATCACTCCACTGTTGTTCGTGTTTTATGCACTTCGATGCCGACCAGGTCAGGTCACGTACATGAAGGGCCACGGGTCGTCTCAGAGACCAGCACGAGACCTGTATGAGACCTGTATGAGACCTGTATGAGACCTGTATGGAGGACCTGTATGGAGGACCTGTATGGAGACCTGTATGGNCCTAACCCTGACCTAACCCTGACCTACCCCTAACTCTGATCTAACCCTGACCTAACACTAACCCTGACCTAAGCCTGACCTAACCCTGATCTAACCCTAACCCTGACCTAACCCTGACCTAATCCTAACCTTACCCTGACCTAACCCTGATCTAACCCTAACCCTGACCTAACCCTGACCTAATCCTAACCTTACCCTGACCTAACCCTAACCCTGACCTAACCCTAACCTAACCCTGACCTAACCCTGACTTAATCCTAACCTAACCCTGACCTGGCCCTGACCCACCTGTAGCTGCTGGAGCTCGCTGTGCTGTCACGGCTGCTCAACTTTGTCCTTGAAATGTTGAATTACAGTATTTACTGAAATAAAAGTCCTGCTTTTGTATCCTCTCGTGTCCATCTACACTTTCTGTTTATACGAGTCAGATCAGAGTTTTTCAAATCCTCCTCGAGGGCTCTGCAGACGTTTTGGTGTATAATTGGTTGATAATTTTTTTATGCAAATAAATGAAAGTGTTTGGGAATTAATACTGGGTGTATTTTATCTGTCTTCCATAAAACACTGTGATGGAATAATTTTGTTCCATATGTGTTAAAACTTTGTTGTGTTTGAAATTGTTTCCCTGCATTGAAGGTGCTTGACCGTAATAATTCAGAGAAAATCTGTAAAACAACAACATTTCTC